CCGCCGCCCCGGCCTCCGCGGCCGCGCCGCCGCCGCCGCCGCCCGCCGCGGCCGCCGCCGCGGCGACCACCTTGCCAGCAAGCTCCTTTTTGGTGCGGCCCACGGGGCGCTTCTGCAGCGCGGCGCTCGCTCCTTGCGGGGGGGCGGCGGCTCCAGCCCCTGTCTGCTCGTCTGCCGCCGGCGCACCCGCGCCCTCCTCCTCCTCCGCATCAATATCCCCCTGCATTGGATACGATGTTGTAGCGAATGTGCACGCAATCGCTGCCGGCGTCCCGGCGGGTCCGGGTAACCAAGGCCGGTGACGCCGGAATCGCGGGAACCCTGCTCACACCTGCGTCGCAGCGGCCGTGCGGCCCCGCGTTGAGCAAGCGATTTGATGCGGACACCCCAACATCTGATATGATCTAATCTGGTCTGGCGCGTCACCCACCGTGCTGACGAAGAACCCCGAGTACTTGGCCTTGGCCCTCTTGCTGCCCTTGTACATCACAACCTCGGAATCATCAATGAAGTCGTCATCGTACGCAACAAAGCCCTCCTTCAAGTACTCGCCCCCGCCCTTGCCCCGCTTCCGGCCGCCCTTGTCGGCGCCGGCGCCGCCGCCTGCCGCGGCGGCGGCCCCAGCGCCCTCGCCGCCGGCCGCTGCGCCGGCCGGGTCTGAGTCGCTGTCCTGCCCGCTGCTGGAGTCGCCGCTGCCTTCCCCGTCCTGGGGGGGCGGGCGGGCCGCGTGCAGGTGGGCACGGTTGGGCACGGTTGGGCGCGGTCGGGCGCGGTTGTGCGTGGCGGGCGCCGCCAGGCGCGCTCAGGACATTGATCAAGCGCTCATGGCGGAGTGCCAGGAACCCAGTGTGGCTGCATGCGTGCGCTCTGCGCGTCGCAGACGAGTTGCGTCGCTCATGCTACCGCAAAGCGCCACCGTGACTCCCAACAACAGCGTGACGGCGTGCATTGGAATTTGGCGCAGGCAGCTGTCGACATGTGCGCCACCTTTCTGTGAGCCTGTCCACACACACACACACACACACACCCCGACGACCATCGAGCAGCCGCCCCCACCTCCTCAGCCGACCCCTGCTCCGCGTCCCTGCCACCGCTGCCGCTCCCTTCGCTGTCGCTCCGCGCGTCGTCGCCTTCCTCATCCGAGCTTATGGCCTGCGGCAGTGAGCACAAACCGGTCACTAGCGTCACTGCAATCCCAGCGCATGCGCGCTCGTCCAACCCCTAATGAACTACCAGAGACAGAGCAGAGCAGGGAGGGGCCACGCTGCTGTGGCGCAGGCGGGAAGCGGCGCTGTCTTGCCTGGAAGTTGCGCGTCAGCTTCTCAATAATGCCGTCCAAGGGGTTGTGGGGGGCGCGCCGCTGCGCTCCTGGGCCCTGTGTTGAGAGCCAGGGCCAGGCAGGCGCGGGCGGTGAGGGGTGGGCTCACGCCCACGGCTTGGGCGCGGGAGCGCGCAGCGCCACCAACCTCCCTGGAGAATCTCAGGCCACGTGTGCCGCGTCGCATGGAGCGCTGTGTGCGGCAGTCGTACGCGCCACGTCAAAGGATTGGCCAAGGGTGCGGCGGAGCGCCCGGCGCGCGTGAGCTCCGCATCTCACCGCTCCGCGGGGCGAGGCTAGGCCTGTTGGCGCCGGCTGTAGTGGATTCTGCTGGCCCTGTTGCTGCTGCTGGTGGTGCTCCTGCGCCTCGATCACCCCCTGCTGCTGCGCCTTTAGGCTCACGCCTCGCTTGCGTAGCAGCTGCGCCGGGCCAAGGGGGGAGGCAGGTCAGGGCGGAGCGCAGGGGCGGCGCTCGAAGCGGCACAGCTGCCGGGGGTCGCCGCGGCAGCACGGTATGCATGGCGGGTGGATGACTGCATGCTACATATCAAGGCGTGCAACGAAGCGCAGCGCGCAGCGAATCGCCTGCCGTTCGCGATGCATGGCCGCAGACGCGCGCTGGTGCAACCCAGCAGCGCGCCAGCTCACCGCCCGCCAGTCCGCTATGTGGCCGCAAGCCTCCAGATCCACATATATTCGCCTGCCTGGGCCCAGCTTAGAGAATGCGTCAGGGTCTGCAGGCGCGACGGCGGGCGCAATGCGCCAGACCGACACCGCTGACGACACGGCCCCAGCGGCGTCGGCGGGCGAGGCGTCGCCCGGATCTAAAGGGTGAACCAATTGTGGCGTTATGCGCTTGCGTACGGGTGCCTGCTGCGGTTGCCGCTGCGCCATTGTCTCTAGATCTAGCGGGATGAGATCACATAGGCGTCACGTGGGATGTTCTTATTGTTTATGAAAGCCTCTGACAATGGCGGTTGCGCTGATATAAAGATAGTAAGCATAGACATAGTGATGTGGACAATCCCGGAGTTGTCCCATCCATCGTGATGCAACATCTACAATTGCATTTGTTACGACCAACACCTTTCGCGCAGCTGCACTGCTTGAGAGCATTATCTGCAACTACAAATACTCGCCTAGCTGGATCATACCGTTTACTGTAAAGTCACATGTTCTGCCTGGTCTGATTTTCTCAATCGAACATCACAACCCTATGAATTGTATGTGAGGTGCATTCATATCCCGCTTGCGTGGACAGCCGCAGACCGACGCCTGGCGTTAGGCGTAAGCTCCACTGCGGGACTCATCTGGTCCGACCACCCCTTAAAGGGATAGTGTTGATTGATAGGCATCAGCAGCGCTGGGCAACGGGGCAGGATGTCTGCACGTCGTCGGCGGAAGGACGCCAATGCAGCCGCAGTGACCGTCGCAACGCCGGCCGCGTGCCGCATCACCTTCGCTACCATCTCGGCGCTGAAGCCAGCGGGCGCCGACTCAGACATGTGGCACGCGCAGCAAATGCTGGTGCAGCATGCGCAGCAGCTGCTCGGCGGCCTGCGAATAGAGCAGGAGGGGCGGCCCCGTGGTCTCCTTCGCCACCACCGTCCCCGTGGCGCGCCACTGGCATGGCTCCGCATCGGCAAAAGGGGGCACCATGCAGGGGACAAGCAGCAGCATGTTGAGGAGCAGCAGCAGCTGCCTCAGCAGCAGCAGCAGGAGCAGCAGCAGCAGCAGCCACAGAAGCAGCAGCGGGCGGCGCAGAGGCGATTTCCCCTCTCCGCAAAGCAGCTTGAGGAGCAGCAGCGGCAGCAGCAGGAGCAGGCGGCGGCGCCCGCGAGCGGCAAGGGCGTGCCGAGCGGCCAGATGCTGGTCGCTGCCGCAACCACCGCGGCGACCACGCTCATCGCCGCCGCCAGCAGCAGCCTCCCAGGCGCCAAGCACTCCCAGCCCCACCCCCAGGCGGTGCTTGCCGTCACCGCCGCAGCCGGCGGCTGCGCGGGCGCCCCGCCGGAGGGCGTGCAGCGCAACCAGCTGCGGCACCGGCGCAAGGGCGACGCACCGCAGGACGACAAGGGGGATGACGTGGTGTGCGTCGAGGCGCTGGAGGGGGGCCGACGGCGGGTGTACCGGCTGCGGTGCGGCTACGAGGGCGGGCGGCACTGGCACGGCTTCGACATGGTGGAAGACGAGCAGACGCACCAGGGGCGTGCGAAGGAGCTAGTGAAGAGCTATTTGCTGCCGCAGGTGCGGGTCGGCGAAGGGAGGGATGAGAGGTTGGGATAGATAAATAGTATGGAGAGGGAGAGAGTGAGTGTGCATGCGCGCGCATATGTGTGCGTGTGTGTGTGCGTGTATAATTGTGCATGTGCGGGAGTGTGCACATTGGGTTGCTTTGCTGAGCAGCAGCATGCGCGCTGAGCGCTGCGCCGGAGAAGTAGGAACGGAACGATTTTTCGCACACACGCACATGCACAACAAATGCACAGGCGCGCACGTGCAAGCCACGCAACCCCCCCGCGCACTCCCACCCACGCGTGCCCGTCGGCGCCCCGCAGGGCTTCCCCGACAGCGTGGCGCCGCAGTACGCAAACTACATGGCCTGGCGCGGGGTGCAGTACTTTTTTGGCGGCGCCATGAGCGTGTTCACCACCAAGAGCCTCCTGGGCGCCCTGGGGGTCGCGGGGCGCCACTCGGTGG